GACACCGTTTGGTAAATGTGATATTTGAGAATCTATAATAAAGCCAGATGTATTGGCCACAAAAAATGGCTCCAATTCCCGCCCAAGCAATACGACACCGTTTGGTAAATGTGATATTTGAGCAAAATCTCAGATATTTTACAATTCTTGAAATATTTAATTATTCCGTATAAAAGATGTATTTAATGGTGTATGTTCCTGGATTAGATTTCCTAGGCAAACAACTCATTTATCCATATGTCTTTTCCTATTTCTAGAAAACATTTATTGATAAAGAGTAATGATCTATTGTTATGCTCAAGGTACCTGTTCAATTCTCGATATCATCTTTGCATTAATATATATATATATATATATATATATATATATATATATATATATATATATATATATATATATATATATATATAGGCATAGTGGTTGCAAGATTGGGTCCATGGATTTCACGTAGGTCTCAGATTGCGGGAAGGAAATGGATCAAGTTTGGATTCCGATCCCATTCCGGCGAAAAAGAAAAGAAGAAGTAGCAGATTAGGTACTGTTTGACAACTCAGATAATAAATTTATCACTTGATATTTTTAATGAGGTGTGTTCTTTGACAGGAAAATGCAAGGGATTCGAAGTAAGTTCTGGGGAACTCCACGTTCTGTATGGATTAGTGAGGATGGCGAGGAGATTGTTGTTATGGATCCATTGATAAACTGGAAAAGCTTTATGGTGAAAAGGTTTGCATTGTTCATGTGGCTATTTTTGTTCTATCTTGAATGATGGCTATTTTTGTAGTAGTAGTAGTAGTAGTATATATATATATATATATATATATATATATATATATAGCAGAGGCATAGTGGTCGCAGGATTGGGTTCTTGGATTTCGCGTAGGTGTTAAATGCGTTGCAGTCGCGGTCGATCAATGACCACACAAGGAAAACTGCGGCTGGCCATGGTGGAGAAACCGTACATGGCGGAGGCGAGGCAACATGCGAAGAAGAGGCAAGGATTTGGATGTTTCAATTACTTGCACAGGGTAGAGGTCGAAGATGGTGACGACTCAATGAGCGTTTGGGTAGCTGCAGTGCCTCTGCTGGTTGGAAGTGGTATAGATAATGCCTACATTATGCAGGTTTTTTTTTTTTTTTTTTTTTTTTTTTTTTTTTTGAAGAGAATGTTTATTCAGGGTTGTTCTTATGCAGGGTTTTGTATTTTCTTATTTCCTTTATTTTGCAAAGAGTTTAAGTTTTTTTTTTTTTTTATTTGCTTCCTCAATGGTTATATGATGATCCTTAACAAATCTGGTGGAAGTGGACCAATGTGCATATCTAAACGAAAGATTTGTGAATGACCGAATATGATGATAGATTTGACAAAACCTCATTGTAGAAGGGTTCTTCAATGTGTGTAGAAATTGCAAAAAAAAACAAGAATTGAGTTTATTTTGTATATTTCTTTTTCTAAAGGAATTTCTTTTTCATTTGATCTTCTATTATAAATGTGTTGTTTATAATTTTAATATTCCAAATATTTAATCCGTGCATTATCATACTAACTACACACCTTGATATAAATATATATATATATATATATATATATATATATATATATATATATATATATATATATACTTGAAAATTTACTTCGTCGTATGAGATTAATTATATTCTTTTCATGTAATTCTTCTAATATTTTATTAACATAATATAACATTTATTTTACAAATTATTCCACGTGCATCGCACGGGTATCATACTAGTTTTCATATATAACCGATAGGAATTGCCTTTCCTCAGCTAATTTCATCTTGACTTGTAAGGATTAGGATGTTGTTGTATGGGTAGGGATATCAATCCAGCCAGCCCGTTTGGTTTTGTACTAGCCTTATCAAGTTGTCGGTCTTATCAATTCAAGCTTATATTATAAATTTTTTTTTTGTTAAGTTTAAAATTTTTGGCCACAACCCTAAAACCTAGGGTTATCGGCTTCATTGAACATGCTCAACTAAAACTTTTGACATTTTCAAATTGGCATTCAAACTTTCAATTTTAATAAACTTATTCAATCAATCTAAACCGCCATTTCTAAATTACAACTAAAAATAATTAATATATCTACACTATAATAAAATAATTATAATAAGTTTTTTTTTATCTTTCATTATTTATTTTCATAAAAATATTTATTTTGTAATATATTGGCAAATTATTGTGTGGACCATAACAAAAAGTACAATTTTAATATACTAAAAGTACATTATTTATGTACTGAATGCACGTTATACAAAATAATGTACTTTCAGTATTCAAATAATGTACTTTCTTTGAATACAATGTACATTTTTAATATATTAAAAATACATTCATTGATAGTATAGTCCACACAGCTACATGGACCATGGTCCACACAATAATGATTGGGGCTAGCTCGTTTGGATCACCGAATTTATTGGTTTCGTGCCTATCAGTCTGCTATTTTATTGGGCTAGCTTGTTCGGGCCACCAGGCTTATTGATTTCGTACTTATCGGTATGATTTTTTACTAAGTCAAAATCTTTCAGTCTTAACCCTAAAAAATTCCAATCTTATTAGGCTCAATAGTTATGTTGTGCAACCGTGTGCACCATGCATGGTGCACATGGTTGCAAAAACAACGTCGTTTTGATTAAAAACGCGCGTCCCATTTAAAAAAAAAAAATCAGTTTCGATTCCCCTCAACATCATTATGTTGTTCATTTATTGTGGATATTTAGTTCATTCATTCTGGACTTTTAGTTATTCATTCACTGTGGATATTTAGTTCATTCATTGTGGATATTAGTTCATTCATTGTGGATATATAATTCAAATTATGCATACAAAAATGCTATTGTTAGGAATCGAACTTGATTTTTTTTTTTTTTAAGTGGGACGCGTGTTTTTAATCAAAACGACGCCGTTTTTGTAATCGTGTACACCATATATGCACAACATAATTTGCGTATTAGGCTAGTTTATCAGTTTTGGGCTAACATCCGTATCTATGGGAAGTCCAAAATGTTTATGACTACACTTTCAATGATAAGTTTGCATGACTACACTTTCAATGATAAGTTTGCACACTTTTCTGAACATATATGCTAAATTATGTCTAAAAAAATGATGTTTCGTATTATCTACGTCTACATTATACCCATCAACTTTTTCCTTAAAATTATCATTAACTCCATTGCTCTCAGTGGAGGATTTTTCTAAAGCAAATATCTCACAAGTTATCTTAATGGTAGCTAGTTCTTCCCAAGGTTGATACTTTATGTCACTTCACTATCATCAAGTTAATTTTTTTTTTTTTTTTTTTTTTTGAGTACTATCAAGTTAAACTTATGCTGGAAAGAATGAAAATAATTTTTTAAAACTCAATTAACATTCTATCCACATGCTTGAAAAGGTGTCCAAAGATCATTCATTTTGTAATCACCTCCTATGATTGGTTGTTATTTTTATATTTGTTTCCTTTTCGTGTCATTTTGGGACATAATGAATACAACAGGATCAAATCACCTCGTTTTTTACTTTTAGGAACTTAACAAGTACGTCATAATACCAAACTAATTGTGCATCCACACTAGTCTAGGACTTTTTGTGATTTGTTATGTGCCACATAGGAGAGATAATCAAGAGAAAACAAAAGGAGAAAAATTAAAAAGGGAAAACAAAATAAAAAATCTGACAAAGTAAAAAATTGTGCAGTTTAACTTTTACAAAATTATAAACAATCGTTATGCTAAGGACCCGTGTCCAGCATGCATGCTGGACACGGTAATGGTGTCGTTCGTGGCACTGTTCTCTTTCACTTTAAAAAAAAAATTCAGACCACTTTGTTATAGGAGTATATGTTCATAATTTTATCACTATATGTTCATAATTGTAAGTTTATAATGTCAAAGCTCTTTGTTCATAATTGCATAACTGTACATTCATAATTGCATAACTATACATTCATAATTCCGTAACTGTACATTCATAATTCCGTAACTGTACATTCATAATTCAATAACTGTAAATTCATAATTTTCGAAACTCTATGTTCACAACTTTAGAGCTCTATGTTCATAATTTTATCACTATATGTTCATAATTGTAAGTTCATAATGTCAGAGCTCTGTGTCCATAATTCCATAACTTACATTCATAATTTCATAACTATACATTCATAATTCCATAACTATACATTCATAATGCCACAAACGAATAACGCCGTTAACGGCGAGACAAAATCAATTTTTTTAAACTAGAATGCCGCGTTTTCCCTTAAAACGACATCGTTTTGGACTCATTGTGAACACGAGTCCACAACGTAATTTGCGAATTATAAACATTCAGTATATAAATTGTGTATTTTGGACTCGGGTCCACATAATAATTTGCCCTTGTGATGAGGCTCGGGTCAAGGCCCAAGGTGGTTGAGAGGGGTTTGGAATTTTAGATTAGGGATTCTTGCCCTTTCTAGGTATCAACTTCTTCAACCAATTATCTATACCTAATTTGGTGTTTAGTCTTTGTGGATAGACCTAAGTTTTGAGCCCTGTAAACATATTATATAGTATATACTCCGTAATATATTATAGGATCTAATTTATTTTTTTTAAAGAGTTAAAAAAAAAAAAAAAAAAAAAAAAAAAAAAAAAACAGAAAGGTACTTCGTCGTTATTTTTTAACTTTTTTTTTTGTTTGAAAGCCTTTTTTTTTTTTTTTTGAAAGTTACTGGCTCTATTACAATGTAGTATCTGTTCATATACTTTCTCAACCTACTGAAACACAAAGAATATACTTTCTCAACCTACTGAAACACAAAGAACCAATAACGCCTCCACTGAGGCTTGAACTCATAATCTTTAAAATGGAAATCCAACCCGAATACCATTAGACCACATAGTCCTGGTCTATTCAAGCCTACAATTATTTTTTAACTTAAAAGAGTACAATTATATCATTTTCTATGTAATCATAGATGCATAGTGAATCAGTGGCATTTTAGTCTATTCACACGCTCGCAGTCCCTCCGCCTCTGGATCTCCGCTTCGAGCTCATCGCCGTTGCCCTCTAAAGTCTAAAGCCCCACCACAAAAACCACTGATTACTGCCCATCAGCTCGCCGGTATTTCTGTAAATACGTACAATGTTGTCCACATGCAACGCCATTGTCGGCGCCTCCGATCTAGCCCGCGGCACCCGCCTCCGCTTCTTCAATCCCAAGAATCCGGTATTCACTACACGCCGGAATGCCGTCGTTTCCGGCGCCTCTCTTCGCACTAGTCCGATTATGGCTGTGTCAACTCAGGAGCCGAAGATTAGTGAGCCGGGCGCCCTCGAGTCGAGCCTTGCAAATCAGCTCCGGCTTGGGAGCTTGGCGGCGGACGGATTCTCGTTTAAGGAGAAGTTTATTATCCGGTGCTCTGAGGTCGGCGTTAACAAAACCGCCACCATTGAAGCCATTGCCAATCTCTTGCAGGTTAAGATTGCTCTTTCTTCTTTTTTTTTTTTTTTAAGATTTAGGATAATTGAATTACACTGGGAGTTTCAGTTCTAAATTTCTCAATCCTCTTCCTTTATTAAATTATTTGATGTTTCTGAAGTTCTATAGTTGTTCAGTGTGGCATTTATTGTTGGGCAAGTTAAATGTTAGAATTTGCCATATTCACAATAAGAACTATAAGATATTGATGAAAGGCAAAAACTTGTGTGAGAACTTGATGGATTCTTGTTGTAAGACGGGTCAGGTCGATATGAAAATGTAATATTAATTATATTTTTCAGCATAAGTATTATATTTTTCACGGATAAAGTTCCGTGTGACCGTCTCACAAGAGAGCCACTCTCAAAGGCAAAAACTTGTGTGAGACTAGCTCACTCATCTTTGTCAATGAGACAGGTCGGATCAAAATGAAAATGAAGTATTTATTATACTGAAAAATGTAATACTAATTCTTATATTTCTATATTGACCCGACCCGTTGCACCGATAAGGATCAGTGAAACGGTCTCACAGGAGAGTCACTGATGATGAAATAAGGTTTGAAGTTGATGTAGACCCATATATCTTTGACTGAACTTTTGTATTGATTTTTTAAGATTTCCCTGTGTAGGAGGTCTCTTGCAACCATGCTCAGAGTGTTGGGTTTTCAGCAGATGGATTTGCAACTACTCATACCATGAGGAAATTGCATCTTATATGGGTTGCTGCACGAATGCACATTGAGATTTATAAATACCCGGCATGGTAGTACTAATTCCCTTCCTCTTGGTACAAATGTGCTGCAACCATGAATTGTATTAACTGTTATATGTGCAGGAGTGATGTCATTGAGATAGAGACTTGGATTGCTAGCGAGGGAAGGATTGGGACGAGACGTGATTGGGTCATTAAGGATTATGCATCTGGTGAAGTAATTGGAAGATCTACCAGGTGTACTAGAATGTTTGTATGTTGTTGAATTGCTGATACAGTTTTGAACTTATTTTCAGAGTGGCATTTTGTATGCTTTAATTTTCTTGATCTTTTACTATGTTGTTGTTCTCTAAGCAGCTTTTCTAGTAACACATTTAGTTGAATTTGCTCAACAAATTTGAGTGATGGTCAAATTTATGATCTCTATCAATTTTGTCACCTATGCTGTCTGATTATTAAGAAATCTTGCACATTTATTTTTTGTTACTTTGGCTTGTCCGTTTGAATGACTTTTCTATCAGTTATTCCATTTCTAACGGAAGATTAATGTATAAATTGCAGCATGTGGTTGATGATGAACCATGACACCAGACGACTTCAGAAAGTTATTGATGATGTTCGTAACGAGTTAATGCCTTATTGCCCCAAAACGCCAAGGTAAATGCGATGTTCCTTATCCTATCTCTTCTACTACTACATTTTTTCAATGCCAGGAGTCCATTGAATTGTAGTGGAATGATACAGAGGATATAATTTGTTTTCTCCCTTTTTATGTGCTTAGTTTTTTGTTGTTTGTTCTCAAGTGCCATATTGAAGTTAACAGCACCCATTCTCCATCTCTTAAATCTATCATATTATATTTATTATAGTCTTATGTACGGTACTGATGTTAATGGCCTAATTTATTGCTAGGTTTTCTTTTCCCGAGGATAACAATTCGAGCTCTAAGAAAATACCCAAGTTGGGAGATCCTGCTCAGTATTCGGTACTTCGGCTGGTGGTGAGTAATCATTTTGAAAGTATGAGTAGCCTAGCAGAATTCTGTTTGCCGTACTCACATATTCTGTAACTTCACAGCCACGAAGAGCTGATTTGGATATGAACCACCATTTAAATTTTGTCACCTACATTGGATGGGTACTGGAGGTTAGTGAACTTTGATTGGTATTATATTATCTTGTTTACTGTCATGAAATCTGAAATCTGTTAGGATCAAGCGCTTACCACTACGCCAAAAGCTATAACTCGTAGCGAAGGCGCAACTTTATTTCCTTATACTGCCACATTTTCGAGAGGCAAGGTGCTGGACTTTGCCCTTCACCGGCCTCCGCCCAACAATCCCTCTAACCACCAATTGCTGGACTTGGCCCTTCACCGGCCCCCACCCAACAATTCCCCCTCCCCCTCCTAGCACCTGTCAGCCTTAACTGCACAGTTTTTACTCTCAAACCCGTGACATGGCTCTGATGTCACTTGTTAGATCAAACGCTTACCATTACGTCAAAAGCTATAGCTCGTAGCGAAGGCGCAACTTTATTTCCTTATACTGCCACATTTTCGAGAGGTAAGGTGCTGGACTTTGCCCTTCACCGGCCTCCGCCCATCAATCCCTCTAACCACCAATTGCTGGACTTGGCCTTTCACCGGCCTCCACCCAACAATTCCCCCTCCCCCTCCCCCTCCTAGCACCTGTCAGCCTTAACTGCACAGTTTTTACTCTCAAACCCGTGACATGGCTCTGATGCCACTTGTTAGATCAAACGCTTACCACTACACCAAAAGCTATAGCTCACAGCGTAGGCGCAACTTTATTTTCTTATATTGTCACATTTTCAAGAGGCAGGGTGCTGGACTTGGCCCTTTACCGACAAAATCTTTTGCCAATAAGGTGCGATATTCCTAACATGGTGTTTGTCTTCACAACAGAGTATGCCTCAAGAAATCATTGATACGTGTGAACTGCAAACCATTACACTGGATTACAAGCGGGAATGCCAGCATGATGATGTGGTTGATTCTCTCACGAGCCTCGAACCAGTCGATGAATCTGCCACTGCTATAAACAACGACAACGAGTGCTTCTTGCATTTGCTTAGACTATCTAGCAATGGAGTCGAGATAAATAGGGGTCGCACCGAGTGGAGAAAGAAATTATGAGGCCATATTTCCAGCCAGAATAGCATTTGTACTGATGAGTGAGTGAAGCCCTGAGAGGCTGTTGCAGACAGATTGCAGCTTAGATTTTGTTTTGTTTTCATGAAATAAAGCTTTGATTCAAGTGACTGTAAATGACTAATTTCAACTATCTGCTCTGGTGGCTGTATGTTGTGAAGTGTCTGTCAAATATGTTTTATTCCAACTGAATTTCTTTAGTCACTGTTGTTGTAACTTGTAAGCTCAATTAAAGGTGCCAATTTGGGTGGTTAATGGTTATACTTCAATCATGCTTATATTGCCCCCTCTAAGCTAAATGATTTGGGTTTTTTTTTTATTTTTGGGATAAAAGTACAAATAAGCCACTGAACTATTTGAGATTCAATGGCTTATTTGGAAGTTATTTGAGTTCAGTGACTTAATTGCTGTTTCCCAAATAGTTCAGTAACTTATTTATACTTTATCCTTTTATTTTTCAATTCCTCTTGAGCTAAAAATTTCTCTAACTCAATGTGCATGTATATAGCACATAAATAGCAAAAACATAACACAAATTATGAAATGTAAGAGAAACCACAAAATAATCCCCAACACATAGATGATAGATCATCTTTTGGATTGTACATTTATGTTTATATATATGCAAGGGACTAATTTGGAATCCATATAGTATAACAAGCTTGGCAAAGCAAAACCACAAAGCTATCCAAATATTTTGATTGAATTTCGAAATCGTTTTAAAATCACAACAGCAACAGCAGGAGATCAAGATTTAGATTAGCCTGAATAAAATTTTACAGGATTTCCTCCAAACTCCAATCCTCAAAATTCATTCTCTACCCAAGAAGGCGTAGCCCGGCCTGCTCATCCGCATGGCGGGTGACCAAAAAAGTCTCAACTCCGATGACCACCGAGTGCTTGGGCCTGAAGGTTTTGGTTGTCTTCTAATAGCCGGTCGTATTCCAGAAGTAAATCTGCAGCTTGTTTTTGAAGCGCAGCAACGTGTCCTTCTGCCGTTTCAACCTCTTTGCCTTTCTCCTCGCATTCCACTTTAGCCTTCTTCAAACTATCCTTTAAACTCGAGATTTCTTTCTGCAGCCGTTTTATTTCCCCTTCAGCTTTCTCAGCCTTCTCCTTGAAGGACAGCTTATCTTTCTCAAGCTTCTCGACTTCATTCTTTGACGTCCCCACACTACTTCGTAACCCAACCAATTTCCGAAGATAATGGTGCATGCGGTCAATTAAGAATCCAAGGAATAGCGAGAACCCTGTAAGTGTAAGGTCAAGAATAAGAATTAAGCACAAAGGAATCCTTCAAAACGAAATTTGTTCATATTAAAATGATAATGCAAATTTTAACCAGCATGCTTCACATTTCTCAATGTTAGCCCACTTATATTCGAACCCATGACCTTTGGCATGGGATTAATTGAAGCATATATTCCATCTCAACTAAAAGTCTAAGTTGATAGTTGGATTGCACATTTATGTTTATATATTATGCTCTACATAAAAAAACCCCATAAATGAAAGAACTGTTACACAAAAGCTTACAATTTCATCCTTTCATTTGTATAATTAAACAGGACTTGATATGTACTAAATTACTAGGCTTTTTTACTTGCTGTATTTTACTCGGACCCATTATAAGACAAATAATTCACAGCTTCCACCAAGAATCAGGAAATAAACTCGAGTGAAATTGGAAGATTAATATTGGAATGCAGAACTAATCCTTGCAAATCATGGCAAAATTTAGGTACACTACATAATACCAGAACTAATCCCGACCATTTTCATTACTACCCTCCTCCCAACTACTCCCCAACTCCAAGATTACTACTAACTTCTTCAGCATCAAGCTCATTGTAGCTGTGATAAATAATGTAGAGCAGAAATGCAGAGCGTTCACTCACAGAAGAGCAAGTATATGCAATATATGAAGCTTGTTAAGAGAGCACACTATATTCACAAGATAGACCAAACTTCTAGCAAGTATTCTAGTAAATGAAGTAACAATGCACAACAAAACTAGATATAAGCAACCACAATGCAATGCAATGCAATCCAATCCAATCTTCAAACAAAACAATTGAAAAGACCAAGGTTTAGTAGGCAGAATTTGGGACAAGAGACTAAGGTTCAAAACACGGCAACAGCATTGTAGGGATTATGCCCAAAGTGGGCAAATCCCTATTTGTTGAGCCACTGAGTTATCGTGATTTACATCGGGAATTCAAACTTTTGGGGCAAGAACAATTGAAAAGACACCAACTTTCCATTTGTTAACAACACAAGAGCCACATAGAACAGGACTACTATAGCATAAAGTGGCAATTTCCACAAAGAAATGTATTGAAAACACAAAAAACAAAGGTTAGGACTTGATACCCATGAGAGTAGCTTCCAACAAGTTGGTCCTCCAAAGAACTTGATCCATGGGTGTCATAGTACCAAGCTTAGCACCCTTGTTCTGGATCTTCACAATGCTAATAAAGTTGGAAAAGAGGATAGCAGAAAAAGTACCAGCAATAGTCAAAACAGTCCCCTTCCTCATTTTCACCTGATCCAACCCCTTCATCACCAACTCCCTTAGAGGCCCAATCTTCACCATTAGAAGGAATGCCACAGCACCCTCCGCGAACAGAACTAAGAACAGCAGCTGAATCATCTTTTTACACCTTAAAGCTTCCACCTTTCTTCACCCGCTAACCAGATTATTAACTCCCCTTTACTGAGCATCAAATTTCAAGAAACCCCAACTTCACAAAACAATGCTTTCTTCAAGAAAGTAGAAACTACCACATCAAACCCTAAAACCCTAGCTATATCCACTAACAGTGAGAAAGAAACCCTTTGGTGGAATTAACGATTCATATAACTATTTGAATCACGGTAAGAATCGAATCGTCAGAGAAAAAATGTTCAAGATAAAAAGTTTTGTGTTTTTTTTTTTCCTTTTGTTTTTCAAAGTCTAGTAAACCCCCACTTTGAAAAGGCAGGACTTTAAGCAGAATGTGAATGTCAGAACTCTGAAGGACTCAGATCTAATCTATGTAATTAAGGGAAAATTACTTTACAATGTGATAATATAAAAAAAAGAATATATTTCACTTTCCTCCTTACTATTATATATGAATCACATTTGGTGCATTAAAATTTTCTAATTATGTATATGATTATGTAATTTATATTACATTTGGCATTGTCATTTAATTATTTCATCTAAAAGTTGTGCTCTTCCAGAAGCATGGTTGAAAAAATCGTTAGACACTCGGAGAACAACTAATGCCTAGGGCACACCCGTGTATTTTTTATGTGATTTTTTAAAATTTTTTAAGACTTGATAATTATAAATTATTTAATACTTTAATAGTTAATGCCGAAATATTAAATATTAACCTAAAAACATCTAGAGTTTCAACAATTTAGGATTATTTCGCTTAAAATGATTTCGCTTTGAGTGAAATAACCCATTTAAAAAAGAATAGAACAATATCTAATCGACCGACTATGCGACCTAGTCGGTACCTAGGAGGCTGCTTAGCTAGCCAGCTGCCTAGACCACCAATTATGGTAATACACTAGGCAGCCGATCAGCGCCTAACACCTAGGCACCGATCTCGGGATATTTGCAACACTGCCCAGAAGTGCTCATAGTACTTCCAATAGGAGCATTATGCTGTGCATCCGTGTGCACCATGCATGGTGCACACTGATGCAAAAAACGACGTCGTTTTGACGTCAACTTAAAAAAATAAATCCATAATTTCATAACTATACATCTAGAATTGCATAACTACACATCCATAACTTCATAACTATACATCTAGAATTGCAAGCATAACTACACATCTATAACTTCATAACTATACATCTAGAATTGCATGCATAACTACACATCTATAACTTCATAACTATACATCCAGAATTGCATGCATAACTACACATCTATAACTTCATAACTATACATCCAGAATTGCATAACTACACATCCATAACTTCATAACTATAAATCCAGAATTGCATAACTACACGTCCATAACTTCATAACTATACATCCAGAATTACATAACTATACATCCATAACTTCATAACTATAAACCCAGAATTGCATAACTACACCATGCATAATTACACATCCATAACTTCATAACTATAAATCCAAAATTGCATAACTACACATCCATAATTTCATAACTAAAAACCCAGAATGAATGAACTAAAAATCTAGAATGAATGAACAACATAATGTTGTTGCTGGGAATCAAAATTTGAATTTTTTTTTAAGTAGGACGCACATTTTTAATCAAAACGACGTCGTTTTTGCATCCGTGTGCACAAAAATGCACAGCATAATTTGCCCTTCCAATAATAGTTGGCCAAAAAATTGAAAATTACTACATGTACTCCCAACTTGTACTCCTTCTCACAAATTTTGGATGTAGACACTTTTCCTGGGACCCAAATGATGAAAATGGAAAATGCTACATGTACTCTCATTTTGTACTCCCAACTTGTATTCCCACACACAAAATCTTTGATGTAGACATTTGTATTGGGACCCACATGAAAAAAAAAACTTATCAGAATCCGTCACATCAGGGAGTAAAATTAGAGAGTACATGTAGTAGAACTCGATGAAAATAGTATATCCTTGTTTGCCACATCATGAAGTAAGAGTGAATGAGTAGAATTTGAGAGTACATGTAGTAGAACTTTAAAAAATTGGATTACATGACCAAATGTAATACAAATTACGTATTCATGCATCTAATTAAAAAATTTTAATAGTCAAAAATAAAATTTGATTCATTTATTATAGTTGGGACCAAAAGTGAAATTTTATCTATAAAAAATAAAATCTCTAATGTTATTTTACTGAGGTAAATTGATTTTCTAAGTAAGCAAAAGATTAGCACAGAGAAATGATGGAAAATGGAGTATCACCTTCAACTTGAAAAGTAGACAAAGATTACGTATAAGGCAAAGCAGTGTTGTCCTTCGCTTCTGTAATAAGTTATAAGTGTGCAGTGGTTTCCATTATTGGCGTTTGTTGCAACAATTATGAAAAACAATTTAGTGCATTAATTGTGAAATATAAATTATATTCTTAAAAAAAATGGGATATATTAGAAATAGAATAAACATTCTATTTTATTATTTGGACTGCGAAAACAATAGACTTCGTGAATTATATTATGCTTTTTGGTTAATTTTATATATAGAAATAGAATAAATATTTAAAAGACAAAAAATACATTCTATATTGAATGATATATACAAAGAAATAAAAATA